TTTGGGAGGCTGAGGCAGGAGGATCCCTGGAGCCCAGTAGTTCAAGACCAACCTGGGCAACACAGAAAGACCCTTTCTTGGCCGGGCATGGTGGCTCATGCCTGTAATCCCAGCACTTTTGGCAACTGATGCCAATGGATGACCTTAGGTCAGGAGTTCAAGACCAACCTGACCAATAAGGTGAAACCCCATCTCTACTAAAAATACTAAAATTAGCAGGGCATGGCACCTGTAGTCCCAGCTACTCAGGAGGCTGAGACAGGAGAATTGCTTGAACCTAGGAGGTAGAATTTGCAGTGAGCTGAGATTGTGCCAGTGCACTCCAGCCTGGGCAATGGAGTCTGTCTCAAAAAAAAAAAATGAAAAGCCCTCATCTCTAAAAAAGCAAGTATTCCTCTTGAGCCTTCTGCACATTTTTTTTTTAATTGAGCCAGAGTGTCACTCTATTGCCCAGGCTGTAGTGCAGTGGCCAGATCTTGGCTCACTGCAACCTCCACCACCCAGGTTCAAGCAATCCTCATGCCTCAGCCTCCCAAGTAGCTAGGACTACAGGCGTGTGCCATCACGCCCAGCTAATTCTTTTGTATTTTCAGTAGAGACAGTTTTTCTACATTGGGCAGGCTGGTCTTGAACTCCTGACTTCAGGTGATCTGCCTGCCTTGGCTTCCCAAAATGCTGGGATTACAGGCATAAGCCACCTTGCCTGGCTTGAACAATTATATATACATACATACATAATTGAGATACACATGATGTACAAATTATACACACATAGTTGAGATACATCTTTGTTATTAAACTCATACTCAATTCTTATGGAAGAAAAACAGCCTCAGTTTGTAGCCATAGTCTATTAAATATTAATAGAAAAAGAAAAGATACTTTGTGTGAGCTGTAGTTTGAGAAATGACTGACCATCCTTATCTTTGTATTCATGTTTATACACATCAACTTTTATGTCTAAAATTGTAGGTAACTTGCAATTGAATGATAAACTATTAGACTGTCGTATCCAAGTTTTACAACATTTAACAGTGACTGATCTTTCAATTTCTAATACAGGAGCTGAACAATCTTTTGAACAGCTTCTGCCAGAATGCTCTTCACAGGAGGGTAGCCAGCATGCTGATCTACCAAGTATTTTTAGCATTGAAGCAAGAGATTCTTCCCAAGGCATGAAAAATCAGAACTTTCCCTCTGAAGAACATACTGAAATATTACAAAACAGGAAGAAAAGTGTTCATTTCCAGCTTTCTGTAGGAAATTTAAGTTCAGTCTGTAGTTCATCTGATGAAGCTAATGTATTTGATCAGTTAAATGTTCAGCATACCACTCCATGTGGTTCTAACTGTAGTGAGTGCTCAATAAAACACCAACTAGAAAGCAGAACGCAAAGGATGGGCTTTGAAGAACTACCAAAAAGAGGGGTTGTTACGTTACAAAGTCAAGGACTCACTGAAGATAATAAAAATGAAAGCTGTAGGGTTTTAGACATACATCCACAGGCAGAGGAAACGGATTCTCGATTCTGTGTAAGAACAGCGGAGATGGGAACTTCAGTTCAGGCACCATATTCCTTAACTACTCAAAAATATTCTGAGAATTCAACTGAAAGAGACATTCCAAAAATCACCAATAAACTATCTGAAAAAGAACATTTGGAGCTTTTTGCAAGTTCTGGATCATTTTCATTGCAGACCTCTATACCAGTCTGGGTAAGTGAAATCAGTGTTGTATAACATTAAAGTTCCTTTTTGGGAAAATTATTTTCTTTTAATATTAGAGATGAGGATCTCGCTGTTACCTGGGCTGAATTCAAATTCCTGGGATCAAGGGGTCCTCCTGCCTCAAATTCCTAAGTAGCTTGGACACACAACATGCCTGGCAAGAAAAAATTGAAATACAAGCAAAACTTAAATATTCCCATCAAGCTTGTGATTACTGCAAATACCTAGCAAATCGAAGAAACCTAAAATTTTGAAAGCTGTCTTGAGAGTATTTTAAAAAGATCCTTTCTCCAACACCCCTGAAAAATGGTGGCTCTGCCTATGATTCAGCACTTTTTCAGTGTTGAGCCTCATTGCAGTGCACTGAATTCATCCATTATTGGAATAAGTACTGTTATTAACACTGTTCCTCATACCAACCAACTCAAGTTTATCCTTCCACAAATAAATGTAACACATCTGTTTGGCTGCTTTTGTTCTCATTCAGTGTTTAGCAGTCAGTGGTTCCCATTTGGTAGCCACCCAGGGATATCCACTCCAGTTCTGCACAGCTCCAGCCAACCTGTATTTATTTTTGCCAAACACTACAAGCATTTAGGTTTGTAATCAGTGTCATACTATTTCACCCCCCTCCCTAACGTTGGCTCCAGTATTTCTAGAACTAAATGTTGGAGTTAGGGAAGCCTAAATGAAATCCCCAACTGTTGCTTGTTTTCCTCCATTAATGTACATTTTCACATTTATGTACACTTGTGCAAATTGTGCATTATATACAAAATGAATATGTAGGGCTTTTTTTTAACTGTTTCAAGGCTACTTTAATTTGACATGGTTTTCCTTTTAATTGTGCTTCACAGGAAACAGAATCTGGCCATGGTATAATGGAAGAGCCAGAACTTACTTTAGTAAGCACCAGTGATATCAGTATTGCTGAAACAGATTTTGCAAATTTAACCTTAGAAGAAAAGGGAGAGGATGAAGCAAAAAGCTGTTCACAGGTAAATTTAATCATTCCTTATATTTTAGCCCATTATGAGCAAACCAGTTGACTGTCTCTTATCTGATAACTTCAATTATCAGATGTTACTTACTGGAAGGGATTATGCTATGTACTTAAAATTTAGTTCAGGGCTCCAGTTTAGTAGACACTTTAAGACCTGACACCCCCCACCAGCTGTCATTTGTCTTAAGGCTTCATCTGTCAATGACTGTGCATTTTCTTTTAATCCGCACTGCAATTTATGCAAGACTCTGGCAGACCTAATTTAGTTATACAACTAGTGTTACGGTGCCAAGTTGGAAATTTTATCTAAACATATTCTAAGATACTGCAAAATGGCTTTGGAACTGCTAATTTTACAAGGGTAGTTAGGGAGGCAATAAGAGGAATAAAATCATTGAATTTTCTCATGCTACCTAAACAGAGGCCTAGAGGTGTGAGGGCAGTGGAGGGTGAATTGTGTGAGCCCAGGAGTTCAAGACCACCCTGGGCAACACGACAAAACCCCATCCCTAAAAAAATACACAAAAATTAGCTAGGTGTGGTTTAGCTGTAGACCAAGCTACTCGGAATATTTAAGCTGCAGTGAGCCGTGATAATGTGACTGCACTCCAGTCTGACAACAGAGCAGGCCCCCTTTTAAAAAAAATGTGTTATTTAAAAAAATGTAATAAAACTTTATCATTAGGTGAGTGAGTTTCTGCCTCTTGTATCAGAAACAGAAGGCTCAGATTATCCAGCTGTATCAGAACTTTCCATAGAAAAACCAAAGACAGCATCTACAGGTAAGCCTTTTATGGGCTCCACACTTCCAATATAAAGTAAACACTTTGCCTATTCCTGTCGTTAAGTTTTTTCTCCCAACAGAAAGTCCTCCAAGGTTTACACCTATATCCGGGAGCTTACAAGAAGCGTTTATAAACAGAAAAAAAACATTTATGGAGAGATCCCACCAGAGGCAAAAAGAAATAACAATCAAAGAGAAACCATCTATAGGTATGTTGAATTTTTTAAATCTTCACCACCGCCCTGAAATGTTTAAAGCCTGATTATAACTTGATTTCACATTTCTTTCCTCAGGTTCATCAGTGAGTCATCTAAGGGGTGTGAATAAAGTCAGAGCACTTCCTGAAGACAGAAAGACTACACAGGCTCTCAGGCACCAAAGGAGTCTAAGGTATTGTTGGTTTTTGCAGCGAGTCATGTTTTCTGCAATGTTTGTCTCTAACTCTATAGAAATTCTTTATAGGTTATATAATCAACTAGCTGAAGTGAAACAACAAAAGGAAGAAAAAGCAAAACAAGCAGCTTATGCCCAAAACAGAGCAAGGGCAAAGGAATTCCATAAGGTGAGTATAACTTAGGGGGAGAAACCTAATTTTAAGCCTGAAATACACAACTGTAACTGCAAAATTTTTATTCCTTCCACAGAAAACATTAGAGAAACTTCGAGCCAAAAATACATGCTGACTTTTAGAAACAGTGTAAAGAGTTTTTTTTTAATTGTGTATATTTAAAGTCAATAAATTTTTATTCAAGGAATTCCATGTTGTGATTTCTTCCACTGTCCATCAGAGTCACTTTAGATCCTCTTAGCCCTGAAGAAGAAAAATTTTGATTAAAACTCTTACATGGCAACAATCATGGATTATTAAGTTTTATATCTCCTGGGGAAAACATAGCACCAACATAAGAGTGCTATGGCATCCTATAGAGAACTTCCATCTTTGGTCACAGCGTGAAGAGCTCTGGGTTTCACAGCCTCATAAGCCCTCTTTGAAATGACCTATACAAATGTCTTTTCTAATGCATATGTACCTTTTTAATGAAGCTGATGCTTGCTTTAATCCAGTTGTCCTGTCAGCCCTAAATAGTAATAAAAGTAAATTTTACATTTCCAGAGATGATTGTACACAGTGAGTGAACATGAATGAGTCCTAGAACCAGCCTAAGCTAACTCTGGTACATACAAACTGCTTAGTTATTAGCAATAAGAATTTTAAAATCTCATTGATACTAGGGGAAAAAAAAAACAAAAAACATGTGGCTCACATTATATTTGTATTGCATTTCTATTACAGTTAATCAAATGTTCCCAATAGGCTGATTGCTAGCAAGGTAGCAGATGTAAAACCTACTGGGAAATTTTTTTTATGGTCATGTCCACAGCAAATTAGAAACAGCATTCTAAAAGCCTTGGTAATGACCATTACGCCCTTGAGCAAACAGCTGATATTAAGATAAAAACCATTACTTGCCATTAATTTATTTTGGCTTCTGTCATCTCCTTTTAATACGGATATACTGATGAAGACTTCAAAATTCACCTATGGAAAAATGTTTATCTCAAATTCATACTTACTATTAAATACAGAAATCTATCTTTCAAAATGAAGTTGCTTAGGCTCCAAATTATCCTAAATCCCAGCACCTCAACTAATGTATTGAAAATTCCATGCTTCAAATAGCTATTAAACTAATGTATTTTTAAATTAAGGTCATTTTTATCAATCATCCCATGCCCATTCACATCTGAATTTGCTCTGTGATCACATTTCTGGCAACTTCTCTTAGAGCTTTATAATCTTCTCAAATACAATGAAATATTTAATGTAAATGGATGTTCAGAAAGGCCATTTTCATTCAGCCCATTCAGAGCAGTTGAACATTTCGCCCATCATCATAACATCATTAGTAATGAAGTTTAAACACATAGTAACATAAGCGTAGTCTTTTTTTACTCCTAAGTGGTGATAAGCTGACCACCAGATTTGGTTCCAAGCCTTACTAGATAATAACCTAAAATAACATTTTTAGAAAAGCTAGTATTCAACAAAATAACCTACATGGCCTTTTAAGTAATGAATTAACTTACCAAGAATCTTTGGGATCTACTTTCTTCAACCAATTTACTTTAGGGTCCTAGAAGTTGAACTGTACAAAGAATAATTATATTTTGACACATGATCTAAGACACAGTCGTACCATATTACAATGTTTCAGTCAATACATAACCTACAAACAGTGGTCTTATGAGATAAAAGTTGAAAATTCCTTATTTAAATGTTTAACACTTTTCTCCTACGTATTTTACTCATAAGCATAGCAAAATGTTACAGGTCTCATTGTCACCACTGCAATATGCATACAGTGGTGGAAGCATAACCTGTCTCAATTTAGCCACATTAACTATTTTTTGGACACCATGATCAGCAGTGCCCATTCTCATCTAGAATGAGGCTTTGTAAAAGTTCCTTTCAAGCTCTGTAGTGTATTTGTATGAAGTTCTTGTTATGCTGGCAATGCTACCTATCAACAGGGGGAAACAAGTAGAATCAATATAAACAGAGAATCTTACCTTTTTATTGTGTGTAGGTGGTGGATCTGCCTGGTTCCAATTTGACACCCTGGAAAAAGAAAAGCGCTGCTTACTGTTTTAGAGTATATCAGAATGAACACTCTGAGAAACCTATACAAATACTGTATCAATAGAAATACCAGGTTTAACAAGCACAAAGCCAAGAAAACCAACGATGCCAGATACTGAATTTCTATAGCACTGACCTTTGAACACCCTAGCAGGAATAAACTGCTGAGTGCAGATACCATGCAGTGCAATAATAACTGAACTGTACAACTTTCGTAGCCCCAAATTTGCAATGTTGCTGCTGAGAAATGCTTTCACAAACCTCTCAATTTCAGATTCCTCTAACAGGTTCAATATTTTGACCTTTATTCCTAATTGTCACTGTAATACAGAAAACTACATTAACTGCATTTTAAAGCTACAACTCTCTTTGCCCAGTCTCTCTATATAACTTACAGATGGAATACATACATGTAACTTAACAGATATTACAAACGTCAAGCTCATTTAGAGACGAGGTTTCATCGTGATAGCCAGGATGGTCTCAAAATCCTAACAGGTGACCTGCATGCCTCTGTCACCCAAAGTGCTGGGATTACAGGCATCAGCCACGGTGCCTGGCCACATCAAGCTCATTGTTGCTCAAACTGCAAATTAGGCAAAATTTGTTTAGATTCAACATATCCATCCCGGTTTACATGACTTCAGGATGAAATACGTGTAACTGCCAGTTGAATAATGATGCAAAGAAAAGTTTCATTTGGTAGTCTAGACAATGCAGTCTTTTCATTTATTTCCTTCTCTATATAAATTTATATATATAAGGAAATCTATCTGCCCATTTCTATTATACTAAATCTTGCATTAAACCATGACATCCTCTACCTCATTTTAGATTATGCAGATTCAAAATAATGCTGTATGCTTCAAGTAGAAAATCCATATATAAAAATTTATAGTAGATACATAGTGATAAATATTTTTGCCAGTATCTAATTCTGTGTTATACCTGAAATAATTGGGATGATGTACTTAACTTCTATTTTTCATTTTCAGTCCTTGACTATTATAAGTTAAATATTTTACTTACCTTTCAACATGAATGAGTTCAAATCATATTCATTCCTATAGAAAGTACCAATTAAAGATTTAGAAAGGATACCACATTTCTAGTTACTGAAACTAAAATCCAAATAAAAATTTAAGATCTAGTTTATAATGTAACCATATCCAGCTCTATCAGAATTAAGTTTTAGTTCATGCCCATATCATTCAGCAGTTGAACAGTTAAATTCATCATCTGAACTGTAATCATATTTCCCAAGATGATACTGTCACCAATTAAAACTCACCTAAGCAGTTACACTCAAGAATAGTACAGGTGTGGAAATATGCCAATACCTAAGGTGAAAAAGTAGATTATCAGGTCTTTCATACATTTAGTAGCTGTCATTTTTAAACTTTTAGCAGCTGTCTTGCCATTCCTTTCCACAGATCTAACAATAGTCCTGTGAGTAAGGTAAACCACAGAGTTACTCTATGAGGCGTTTCCAACGACATGCAGGCTACAGGAAAAGCCCCGTCGGGATAGACCTCAACCACTATACAGAGTGTTTTTTTAAAGACACAATATCTGCCATGTCTTTTAAAAAATCATGTAATTCTTGCTGAATCATTTGAGCCCAGGGGTTTGAGGCTACGGTGAGATCTACAGGATCACATCTCACTGTAGTCTCAAACTCCTGGACTCAGTGATTCTCCCGCCTTAGCCTCCAGAGTAGCTGGAGACCACAGGCACCACTGTGCCCAGCTAGTATTTATATCTATAAATAACGGAAGTCTAACACTACTCCATAGGTATGAGCAGAAACTGCGATATGCCCCAGTCTCTTACAATACTGCAAACTGCAAAAACTTTCTATCATGTTAATCACAAAAGCAATCATTTCACAATCACATTGTCAGGATTTTCACCAAGATGCTTAGGAGCCAGAGTACAGAATGATAAATAAAAATGTAATTCTTGGCTCAGTCACATCATGACTTTGGCATTATATAACTTTTAATCAAACTCTACATCATTCAAATTTATGAATTCTTATGACCTGTGTAATTATTTTTTTGAGACGGAGTCTTGCTTTGTCACCCAGGCTGCAGTGCAATGACAGATCTTGGCTCACTGCAACCTCCATCTCCCGAGTTCAAGTGATTCTCCTGCCTCAGCCTTCTGAGTAGCTGTAATTACAGGCCCATGCCACCACACCTGGCTAATTTTTGTATTTTTAGTAGAGACAGGGTCTCATCTTTTTGGTCAGGCTGGTCTCAAACTCCTGACCTTGTGATCCAATCACTTTGGCCTCCCAAAGTGCTAGGATTACAGGCATGAGCCACTGAGCCCAGCCCATCTCCATTATACTAAATCTTGCATTAAACTATAACATCATCTATCTCATTTTAGATTATGCATTAATTCAGAATTATGCTGTATGCCTCAAGTAGGAAGTCCAAAGTTCTGATTACTGCCACAAACTAACAAATTCAGAACCCTCTAATGCTTGCAACTAAAATGAATCTGACACATCACTATAAAATGTGTGAATCTAACATTCCTTTCTTTTCAGAAACCAATTAACTGGGAATTAAAAGCATGCTACAGTTTTCTCTGAATAAAATGAAACTTGATTGCCCTGACAACGCACTATTGATTTTCTACACATAAACAAATACAATCTGAAAACCAAAATTGAGACATACCTTTAACTCCAGACATCATGTTCTCAAGATAAAAGCCTTCAAAACAAAAAGCCATCTTAGGTATCAACGTGAAATTGGAATGCAAAGTAATACTGCTGAGGATTTCCTTCATATCCCCTCATGTTTAACTATTCTACAGTCCGAGAATCAATCTTTCTAAATTAAGAGACAGGGTCTGTCTTTGTTACCAAGGCTGGAGTACAGTCAAAGCTCAGTTCAGCCTCCCAACTCCTGAGCTCAATCCTTGTGCCTCAGCCTCCCCTTCCTGAGTAGCTGCAAGTACAGATACATGCCCCAATACCCAGCTAATTTTTACATTTTTGTGGAGATGAGGTGTTTGTTACTTTCTTGCTCAGGCTGGTCTTGAACTCCTGGCTTTAAGCAATACTCCCACCTCGGTGTGGGGATTCCAAACTTGAGCCACTGCACCTGGCTATCAATACTCCCATCATAATATCCCTTCTTATATGTATCAGAACTCATACTGAACAATGAGTTCTGGGTTGCAAAAGAGGATTTATTTTTTGCACCTATCCATAAGTCTTTGTCCACAAGTTAAACAAAAACATACGTAAGTGCAGTCCTAAGATGCACTACATAGCATAGTTAGTTCTACCATGGTGATCAAAACAATGAGCATCAGGGTAATCATTGTGGTTCTCCCCACATATACATGTTAAATAAATGTGTGTGCCTTCTCTTGAATTAACAATAATTAAAAATGGTAGCAGAAAGTAATATTAGTTTGGGCGTGGTAGCTCACAAAAATAAAAAAGTAGCATTAATGATATTCTAAATTTGGGAAGGGAAATGAGGTTATTACAATACTAAGCATCTGACAGGTCACTTTCCTCTGAATAAAGCGGGGATAAAATTAAAGCATTTCAAATACCCTCTTCAAGATGGTTGGGTGCCAAGTTATTTTATCTTTGTCTAACATTTCCTTTACAAAGTTAAGATCGCTGCACTTCATTGTTTCAGTGCTCATAGGACACCTGTAAGCTCTTAACACTCAGAAATCAACTGATAATGTATTTTCCCTGGTGGGTTTTTTTTTTTTTTTTTTTTTTTTTCTAACTGTTACTACTTCTTCACGAGTTTGTTCCACAAACTTCTACAAGGGGTTAAAAGATTTTTGTTATAAAGTTGGTTTGAGAATTTCTTCACCACCAGACTGGTACATATATCCACATTTATCATCTTCATTCATTTCTATGAAGTCACTTTTTTTCTATATGCTTCACCTTTGACATTCATGATTCTGTCACATTTTCAGGCCTCTCTGTCCAGTATTTTTGGCTTTTGTAGCTCTCTTTTTAGACAAAGCAGCTTCTTCAGTAGTATCCTCTTCTTCTAAGTATACACTCAGTCTTACAGGGAATTCAGAACTTACTATGAAACTATCCCCCTGCATAAAACAAAACAAAAATTACAGATTAAGCAATAACTCCAATGGTTTAGTAATTACATATAGCTAAGTGCACTGGATTACTTCAGATAACCTAGAGACTACATGTGGATGTCAAAAATCCAAATATCTGCTTGTTTTTTCATTTGATATCCTAACTAGCAATATCACATATTAAAATGTTATTAAAAATAGTACTGAAAACCCCATATTATTTTTATCAAGTTTCTAAAAAATTACTATTTTCCTTCTTGTATTTCCTGCGGTAAACTTACTCAGCTTTTCAAAAAGGTTAACGAACTGTAATACAAAAACTAAATACAATTCCTCCTGTACGTACCAACTGCTGCGTTCCCAAAATGGAACAGGAAAAAAAATAAGTCACTTACTGCCAATTTGATATCACATTCGTCATCTTCAAGGTGTGTTGCATCCTCATCTTCTGCTCTGTAATATTAAGATTTATCATCATTGAGATGACAGACTCTTCTATGACCTAATTAGTTCTTAAATTCCACTCTGAAATACAACTGAAACTGCAATACTAGTCAAAAGAAACAAAACATAGAATTTCTAGATGTCTTGTGTGCCAAATTTGGCTCAAATATAACAATCCCAACAGTCCTGCTCTGTATCTTTCTCATTACTGAAGTATAACTGTATTAAAGGCAAAATATGAAGCAATTAACACAGAAACTTAAATAATGTTATAACCCATTACCAAAGTATTTCACAGGATTCCACTTACGTTGACTCCTCAATAGGAGAAATGGATCCCTCATCATCCAAATATTTGTATCTACGACTATCAAAATCTTCATTTTCTAAATCTTCACCAACATTCATTTGTTTCAAGGATTCTTTCAGATGGTGTTCATATTTCAGTTTTTCAATGTAGTTAAAAAATCCTCTTGCAACAGCTTGCTGTATATATTAGAAACATCATATTGTATGTCATGACTTAAGGTTTTTCTTTCATGACCCACCAGGTGCCTATGTTCAAAAAGGGCAACAAGCACCTTACCAAAGATTATCTTAATTTTACTCCCTACTTGCAGACATGTCAAATGCTGATCATTAAAATTCACACTGCAATTATAAACTTTAGACCTAAGGTGGTACCAAGGAAAAGTGAAGTACATATCTTGTCACGCCTGGGACTTACAAAAACAGGAGTAAAGTTTTTTGTTTTTAGACAAGAGTGTTGCTTTTAGTGCAGTAGCTCGATCTTGGTTCACTGCAACCTCCGCCTCAAGGGTTCAAGCAATAATTCTGCCTCGGCCTGGGACTACAAGTGTGTGCCACCGCACCTGGCCAATTTTTTATATTTTTAGTAGAGAAGGGGTTTCACCATGTTAGTCAGGATGGTCTCCATCTCCTGACCTGGTCATCTGTCTGCCTCGGCCTCCCTCCCAAAGTGTTGGGATTTACAGGTTTGAGCCACCTCACCCAGCCAGGAACAAGATTTGTAATGTTTACTATAACCACCTTAAACTTAAGAGATTAATATGTATTAATCCTCCCAAATAAAATTTCAGATTCTGAAAAGGGATGATAAATTAACTCTGCATTCATTCAACATCCAACTCTCAAATATTTAAAAAATCTACTCCTGGCCGGGCGCGGTGGCTCAAGCCTATAATCCCAGCACTTTGGGAGGCCGAGGCGGGTGGATCACGAGGTCAAGAGATCGAGACCATCCTGGTCAACATGGTGAAACCCCGTCTCTACTAAAAATACAAAAAACATTAGCTGGGCATGGTGGCGCGTGCCTGTAATCCCAGCTACTCAGGAGGCTGAGGCAGGAGAATTGCCTGAACCCAGGAGGTGGAGGTTGCGGCGAGCCGAGATTGCACCATTGCACTCCAGCCTGGGTAACAAGAGCAAAACTCCGTCTCAAAAAAAAAAAAAAAAAAAAAAAAAAAATCTACTCCTAAGTATTAGGGTGTCAGGCTTAGAATTATCTAGGCCCTAAGAATATAACCACTGAACATGAGGCATGTGTGGGTTTAGTTTAAGTTACTGCAAAAACATTTTCAAATTATGTGAGCTTTTGTTATCCCCACTGAGATCCCAGGAAACCATTTGAGTTTTAGGGTTGTGTTTAAAGACCTGAGATGGGATGAGATCAAAGGATTTTATACAAAAAGCCTTGGAGCACTATCTTTTAAATTCGGCAAAAATGTAGTCACTGGAGAGATACAAGTTTCAGGTGAAGGATGGGGTGGATTTTAGGGGGAAGCAGACAGTGTATTGCCAGTATATCTTAAACAATTCTAAATTGGCCAACAAATCATTTTGGGCATTTATGTGTATACATATATATGTAAAATGATAACTCACCTCAAACGTTAAAATTTTTTTCCAAGGTGGCTTTTTTTCATTCTCTGATTCTAAAAATGGGAAGCCAGGTCCTCTACTTCTAAACTGTTTCTTCTTATCTATCAGCGAGCATAAAGGATTTCTCCTTCCTTCTGGTCTTCCCCTTGGTCTTCCTGTTGGCTGGTACCTCTTTTTCTTTTTTTTGTACCTTTTTTTCCTGTTCTTGAATCTTTCAAAAATAGCTTTCATGGTCAATGGTATTGGTTCAAAAGATGAGTCACTTGATGAATCACTTGCTTGAACATTTCCAGGTGTACCAACACATTTTCTAATGGGGTTTCTTTGCCGCCGTTTAGGTGAGTAAGGGACACACTGAGTTTTAAATAAGCTGCTATCAGAAGAGTTATCACTGGAAAAATGGAAAAATAATTTCATTTACTTTCTTACTGAATACCAGTAATTACTTACCAGTAATACCCAGTCCCAAATGTGCATTTCTTCCAAGACCAACTCGGGAAAACATGACCAGAATTAAATTTTTTTTTAAAGGATGGACTCAGAACCAACCATCCATTAAACTCCTAACCACCCTATTTAAATAGCCCATAAAGCCACATCTCTTATTAAGAAGAATTTTGTGGACATCGTCTTGCTATCACCCACACTAGAGTGCAGTGGTACAATTACAGCTCACTGCAACCTCAAACTCCTGCAACCGGGGGCATGCTCCTGTCTCAGGCTCCCAAGCAGCTAGCTAGGACTACTGGCAAGCACCACTATGCTCATCTTATTAAAAAATCATGTATCTTTCAAGATAATGTATGAGCTCAACCAAGGCTGCATGGTTCACTGCTAAAAGTGTCAGAGTAAAACAGAGCCTGCCATACAAAAACAGGATGATGAAGTCCAGAAGAGACCCAAAGAATAAACATTTTCTCTAAGAATGTGTCCCATTCACTTTTTGAATTAAAACTATTTGCAATAGTATTATATCAATCTATATAAACCAGATAAACTTGGAAGGTCAGTGAGATCTGGTTTTCCTTCTTTCCCAATTCCTGAAAATTACTGTAATTCATTACATATAATAATTTAGTTTCTCAAAGTAATTCAGATACAATAAATATGACTGAATCCACTCAGTTCTCCAGTAAAAACCCACTTACCTTTGATTTGCAGGTTCCATAGCATCAGATGTTACATGGTCAAGAGAGTCTATTCCTGATTTATCCATCAGTTGCTCTGTTTTAAAGTTTTCTGAAATTGTGAAATTTAGTAAATGTGACAAAGCTTCCCTAAATATTGACACAGTATCTACTATAATGTTCGACATAGTCAGACTATGCCATTGATTTTAGACAAAATCATTTACCAGGCTTAAGCTGCTTATGCATTTCAGATCAATTTCTTAAAAAAAAAAAAATCCAGAAATTCTATTTCCAGATTTTCAGTTTTTACCCTCTATTCAATGCAACAAGATTCCAAAAAAGTACTGTCACTTCCAACAAAAGCATCTTTCAATATAGTTTTATCATTGGCCACATATCAACATATAATTACCAATACAGTATTGATATACAATTAAAAGCCATTTTCCAACATCGAAGGGGAATTCCTAAGGCAAAATGTGCCCTATATAATAAACCAGGAAAACGATCTCCATTCAGTAGACCATTTTAAACTCCTGATCATGTCTCCGTTGTAATTCCAAGATTCCTCATTCATTTCTAGATTCATTTAAGTAACTTAACTTTGTCATACTGTATCTTTGCCATTATTAGTGGAAACTGACAAATTCTGAATTCTCAACTTTTCGATAAACTATCATAATTCAAAAAACAAAACAAAAAAATACCTATCATAATTGTCTCTTCATCTCCATAGAGTATACAACATACAAAAAAAAAAAAAAAAACGATTCCTTCTCGTAAGAAAAAGAGGCTGGTCAGCGTGGCTCATGCCTGTGTAACCCAGCACTTTGGGAGGTCGAGGCGGGCGGATCACCTGAACCCAGGAGCTGAAGACCAACCCAACCCAGTCTCTACAAAAAATACAATAATTAGCCGGGCTGGTGGTACGCGCCTGTGGTCCCAATAAGGAGGCTGAGGTAGGTCGATTACCTGAGCCTGGGAGGTGGAGGTTGTATGTAGTGGGCCTCAGCAACAAAAGGAGCCCCTGTCTCTACAAAAAAAAATTCTTAAAATACTGGCTAGGTGTGGTGGCTCGTGCCTGTGCTCCCAGCCACTCCGGAGGATCGCTTTGCAGTGAGCCGAGATTGCACCAGTGCACTCCAGCCTGGACGACAGAGCAAGAGCCTGTCTCAAAATAAATAAATAAAATAAAGGAAAAATAATAGGCATGGCAACAAAAATAAAGATAACTACTTATTTCACTACTATCTTTGCCTTAATCATTCTCTTGTTTCATTCCGTAGTTTCTTGGGACGCGACATGAGTCATTACATATAAATCCTAGGATAAACTAGCAAAATATTTCAAATATAGGAAAACGATAAGGTCACCAAGAGCTCAGATTTCTTAAATGCCCAACGGACCCCTGTGGTAATTTCCTGTTAGAATGTAAGGTTTTAGTTTCTTAAGCACAAGATTCTACGAAGTCATTAAGTATCGAATGCTCAAAAACAGTATTCAACAAAAATTTGGTCCCTTGCATTAACGGTATACTTGCGTTTTTTTTTTTTTTGTTTTTTTTTAAAGTAGGGATTATCAAAATAAAGCTAGCTCAATAATCACTTTATCTAAGTTTTCTGGAAGACACTCCTACTTAGGTGTGGTTGCCTCTGCCGGGATTCAGCGATTCTTAAGAGGCATCGTGGGCAGAGAGGGGCGCTTTACCCGGAGCTATCGCTGTTATCACCAGCGCGTCTCTCCCGGCAGCGCCTTACCTCAAGGAAACCGGCGCTAGCAATGGCTATCTCCCATGTATGAAGGTTAAATCATTTAAATCACGTGAGGAGGTTAAACTCGTTCACAACACATTTTAACACCTCCATCTCAAGATATAATGAAGGCCGCCTACACTACAGTCGCGTTTGTGTGGGCCTCCAGCCGCGAACCCTTCACCCTCTCGGCCCGACCTCCGAGACTCGATCCTCCGGACCAACGCTAGGGCCGCGGAAAACCCCGTATCTGTAACGCCTCCCCCGGCGGCCAGGGCCGGACGGCCTTGCCCTCTTGTCTACCTACCCAAAACTGCCTCACACCGGCCCCAGCTGCGCACTTAGCGACCGTAACCCATGCCTCTGGCCAAAAACCCGCGACTGGCCTGCTGCGTGAGTCCTGAAGACCTGCACTCACCAAGCTCCTAACCTCAGCCCTCCAACTCCCGAAAACCAGCTCGCATCTGCCAACAGCGCAGAAGAAAAGGGTGTGCAATCCCCGCGGCCCAGATAATAGCGAGGCCGAAATCTCGCGATACAACTTAGCATCCGGGAAGTAGGCAAGCGGCGGAAGGAGGACTGGAGGCGGGTAGCCATTTTTCTTGCCGCGCGGGGAGGAGCGACTAACGTGGGCGGAGCTCCAGCTCGCGTTATCTGAGGAGGCGGGGTTGGCTGAAGCGAAGGTCAGGACTCTGGTGTGGTCTTCCGTGACCCATTCGGTGAGTGGAATAGCCAAGAGGATTTCGGCAAATAACAAAAAGAAAACGTGAGGTCAATTGAGAGTGGGTAAGAACTGCGAGGAAACAGCCTCTCAGCCCAGTTTGTTGCCAGTGGCTCGCATTTGCTGAGCTGTCGCCTGGCTTCCTAAACCTGGTCCTGGGTGTGTGGCGAGGGTGACGGGTGGGATATGTGCGTGTTTTGTCGTACTGTGTCTGCTTTTGCCTTCAGACACCTTTGTGTGTTAAAATATTGGGAAGGCTCATCCTTTGACCATGACTCCAGGTGTGTAACCTTTGTGCTGGACGCCAGTGTTACTCCTTAGCACGCCCACTTTTGCACCTGTTTTGTGACCTCCCCTTTCTGCCTCCCGGAAGTTCGCTAACAAGTCACAAAGGAGACCAGTAGAGGATTTCTTTTTCCTGAGTTTCCTCCCACCCCTAGTTCCTTAACCAGTTCCTGAGTTAAGATTAAACCCTGTAAAGTGGTTTCGTGGGGTTTTTTTTCCCCCTCCCAAAGTAATTTTAAAAAGGAATGAACTGGTTTGATTTTTCCGCTTTCAAAATTCTTTTTTCATATGATAAACCAGTAAAGCCAGTAGAGCTGTCTAGTCTTAATTTATAGTGCACGGCATTTTAGGACTGGATGGGCCTTAAAAGTAATCTGATCTCTTTACCCTACTTTGCGCCATAACTTGGACAATTCCAGGTATAAAAAGTCCAATCCCTTAGGGAGTCCACTGCATTTGATCCACAGGGTCTGTGCAGTGCCCAAGCTCCAATACTGGTATGACATGTCACTCACTGCCGTACTCAACAGCAAGCCTAGCTGTAACATTTAACTCATAATGCAGAATCACTGAACTGTTTCACATTTCATTTTGTCTGTCTGTCTTTCTTTCTTTCTTTTTCTTTCTTTCTTCTTTCTTTCTTTCTTTCCTCTCTTTCTTTCTTTTATTTCGACAGACTCTAGCTCTGTCGCCTAGGCTTCAGTGCAGTGGCGGGTTCTCAGCTCACCGCAACCCCCGCCTCCCGGGCTCAAGAGGTCTGCCCACCTCAGCCTCCCAAGTAGCTGTGACTACAGGCGTCCACCACCACACACCGCTAATTTTTGTACTTTTAGTAGAGAACAGGTTTCACCATGTTGGCCAGGCTGGTCTTGAACTCCTGACCTCAAGTGATCCGCCCGCCTCAACCTCCCAAAGTGCTGGGAATACAGGCATGAGCCACCGCGCCCGGCCACATTTTGTATTTGTTTGTTTTATAGAGATAGAGTCTTGCTCTGCCATCCAGGCTGGAGTGCAGTTGAAGCAGGGTATTTCCCAGACCTCTTTGCGCGACTTCTGTCAGGGGTGCCTGGCTTACTCAGCCCGAAGCTCTCAACCCCTCGCAGGAGGGGGCGCGCGAGTGAATGGGGCTGGAAGCCGGGAACTCCGCTAACTCAGGCCAGCTGCGCTGCACCCCTCTTGCGGGGGAGCCTGGGGGTAAGCAGATGCTAGAGCCAGAGCAAGTGCTTTTGGGCACCAGCAGGAGAGAACTGCATGCAGACCCCTCAGCAGCGTCTGGGGGATGCCCACGACCCCTGAAGATCCACAGCCTATCTCACAACCTGTCATGCTTGTGAAGTTTTAAGAGAATGTCTGCATAGTGTCTACTGGTGTCTGGTATATAGTGTGCACTCAAATGGTAATCAGTTTATTTGGGATAGTTGGTCTACCCCTCCAGGTGTTACCTCTGCAGCTCCATGTCCCTTCTAGACGCTATTTTTGGGTCATCGACTCCCACCAATTAGGCAGGAAAATATTGTTTGCCTCCATCTGGCTCCAGACTGTGCTCCTGGAATTTATGTGAGAACCTAACTCCTTTCTCAGCTCCAACTCTAACGTTCTCCACACCTTCAACACACACATAAACACACACATACACATGCTACCACACTGCCTGCTGTGCTATCAGCCTGCCTGAAGTTCACATCATTTTAGGATTGGACAGTCCTTCATAATTTAAATTTTGGATGGGTCTTCATAATTTAAATTTTATTATGAAAAAGTGATAGTCTAAGGAACTCATTTAATTTTTGGCCTAAATGTCAAATATAGAGTAGGAAGCACAAATATCTGTTATAGAAATACTTAAGTCCTATGTACATTTAGACACTTATCCACAAACCCCTAATAAGTATCCCTAATAAGTACATTTCTTTTTTTTTTGGTCAGAAAGTATCTCTAATAAGTACATTTCTAAACCAGTTACTCAAGCTACATCCTTCCAGGATTGGACTTTGTTCCTATTTTGATAGGGGCATAAACAAACAAGCGACCTACTTTTTTACTAAAGTAAAGAGATAGTAAAGGGAATAAAATTAAGATTACATTTCAATTTTAACTTGTGTTTTTATCCCTACTGCCAGCAAAAGTAAATGTTTTATCATCATTATAAATGAATATACTATTCATTGTGCAGATTTTGACATATTCATAAATAAGTTATTACCCAATAGTTGCCTGATAAAGAATGTGATAAAATGTTAACATTTGGGAAATATGGGTGAAGAATATACGGGAATTATTTGTATGTAGTGTCTGTCAATATGAAATTATTTAAAAGAAAAAAACTGTCTCATTCCTGAACAATTATAAATTATTCAACCCAAAACTATGTTTAAGATATTTAAGTACGATTATATAAAATTTGAGATCCTTTATAAACAGTTATATATATATTTTTTGGGAGATCAGATTACATCCATTAAATCATGAACAGTAACAGCTGGTACTTGATAAAGTACTAAGACAAATACAGCATCATAAATGTATGCAATAGAATGGTTATAAGGGATATATTGTTGGAAAGTACCAGAACTAGAATCCCAGTTTCTAAGCAACCTATGAATTGCTGGAAAATTAGAAAATAATTTTGGGAGAATATTTCAAATGGCTGAGGATCACCTTTCACTTGTTAAATAAGCATGTTAAGGGCAGAGGCCATTCAGATTAATGAAGTGTTCTATTAACAATTTTAACGAGAACTCCAGCAGTACTCTTAGAAACACCCTTAAGAGTCTTGTCTGTGTTCCTTGTTGTGACTGGCCTGGAGGCTACCTCATATTACTTATATTTTTCCCTGACTTCATTTTATCTCCTCCTGCTTGCATACTTCATCACTGAACACTTGAGGTAAGATACTAATCTCTATACATATATACCTATTTGTTATAAAGTAGACTTAGCATATATTTTTATTTATCTTTTAGTTGCAAAGATAGAAAAGCATACTTTTAAATATCAAATTATAATGGGTTACATTATCAGATTGAACCAAGAAAATGTTTATTTGTAAATGAAAATAAAAATTTGAATTTCAAAGGCTAATCCATTCCATAACAGTTTCCATTTCTATTCATAATTTAAATTTTATTTTGAAAAAGCAATAGTCTCAGGAACTCATTTAATTTTTGGCCTAAATGTCAAATATAGAGTAGAAACACAAATACCTATTATAGAAATACTTGAGAGTCCTATATTTACTATTATCTGCAACCATTTAAACACTTATCCACAAACCCCTAATAAGTACCTTTTGCTTCAAGACCTATATTCCTTAGACCAACCGTTAGAAAATTGGATGTTTACTCCAGATATACGCTTTAAAAAAAAAAGTGAATCAGCAGGAGCAGTGGCTCACATTTGTAATCACAGCATTTGGGGAGAGGGAGGGGGAGGATCGCTTGAGGCCAGGAATTCAAGACCAGCCTGGGCAACATAGCGAGACCCTGTTTCTATTTAAAAAAAAAATTCATTTTAGGCTGGGCGCAGTGCCTCACGCCTGTAATCCTAGCACTTTGAGAGGTTGAGGTGGGCATATCACAAGGTCAGGAGATCAAGACCATCCTGGCTAACGTGGTGAAGCTCTGTCTCTACTAAAAAAATATATAAAAAATTAGCTGGGCATGGTGGCATGGGCCTGTAGTCCCAGCTACTCAGGAGGCTGAGGCAGGAGAATTGCTTGAACCCGGGAGGCAGAGGTTGCAGTGAGCCAAGATCTCGCCATTGCACTCCAGCCTGGACAACAGAACGAGACTCCATCTCAAAAAAAAAGAAAAAAGAAAAATTATTGAGACTTAGGAGTTCTCCAATAATAATAAAAAAAAAAGAAGAAGAAAAGAAAAATTAGTTTTAAATTTTAAATTAAAGTATAAGTATTAAAAGGTCACTTGTCTGTTTCTCACTTCAAATATTAAATGTTAGAAGCTGCGTTTGCCTTTTTGTGAAGATAGAACCTAAATGCCGTTTTGTTCTTTTTATATGTTTCAATGCTTAATGTTCATTTCCAGAACAGAAGCTGTTCGTACTTGGTGCACTGTGGACTCTTGTGATAATTAACCAAGAGTAGCTCTATTTGTCCAATCGAATACCTAAAGAAGAAAGAAAATGGCTTGTATTGAGTTTTCTTTTCATGTGCCAAGTCTAGAAGAGCTTGCTGGAGGTAAAAACAATATTAACTTTGGATTTTTAAAAATTATCCCAAGAGAAAATTCTTTTAAAAAGATTCTAACATCAGGCTGAGTGCAGTGGCTCACATCTATAATCCCAGCACTTTGGGAGGCTGAGGTGGGTGGATTACCTGAGGTCACGATTTCAAGACCGGCATGACCAACATTGTGAAACCTCATCTCTATTTAAAAAAAAAAAAAAAAAAAAGATTCTAAGATCTATCTA